ATTTCTCATTCGCAAAATTTTTAAGATACATTATTTATCAATTTTGTCAGAAGCTAGTTCATGGTAATTGGAATACAACCTGAACGTTAGGGGTTGGTCATATTTCGCCACGCCGAGGGTTGGTCCAGACATCCCTGCCTTATGGAAAGCATCCACCTGAATAAAAGAATATTGATAACATAGTTATCTGATGAAATTAAACGAGTTCTTTGTGATTTCATGTTAATCTAGATTCGACATTCCGTTTCCTCTTTATTGTTAGAATTTTCTTAATTGGTGAATCAGCAATTTCTAGATATTTTTGTATGGGATATTTTGTGAAGATAAAAGTTCCAAGAAAGAAAAAGAGAAAAGAGAAAAATTCTATTTTTATTCGTCAAAATTAAATAATTAAATAATACACTGCAGGTTACCGATGTCTCTATACTGACGCCATTGTAGCACAAAGGATGAATACTAAACCTGCCACAGTCAAATTTTCATACTTAAACGTTAATTAAAGTTACAATTAAAGATTGAAATTTGACTTCGTGACTTCCCTTTTTTGACAATATTCGTGTAATCAATTTTTCAAAATCTATCTTTCTTTTTCATACTATTCTTTCTGCTAGACTCTGTCAAACTCTGTTCTAGACTATGGATCAATTGGGATAGAACATCGAATGAGATTTGGACCCCAAAGAGTTAGGTATACCAGACAGTGTTGCTTCGTATACTTGATAATAAAATAAACTACCTGTCTCTTAACCAAAACTTGTTCATTCGCTCTGCCATGACGTATCTGCAATCTCTTCAGTTCCATCAGCTGAAAAAATATCTTTCTTTCCAAGTGGTATCGACGTAAACTGATTTGCACGTCTCTCGTTATAGTGTCCATGTTAAGAGACTGCTGCTTGTCGGTGTTTGGACAGCATTTCATGATTCTTCTTCTTGGTATCCTAGATACCCTTGGACTAGGCTCTATTCCGCTGTCTCTGCCTCCGCTGTCGCGACGTTGTTTCCCTTGCAATCGTCCAGTCCTACTTTCTGGGGGACTTTGAACTCGTGTCAGACGTGTCCGAGTGGTCTGCACCTGTGACAAAAGAAGACGAACAGCAATTGCTTCAAATTACATGCAAACGATTCTATCAAAGGCGGTACGCCAATGTTAAAAAGTTGCAAATTTTCTATTTAGAGAATAGAACCTTGGGAAATTTTACAATTTTGAAGTGGGCTACAACTTCTCTTGGGACCCTCAATCAACTCACAAAGTTTAAAAGAAGATTAAAATTTTCGAGTCACCTAATGTCTCGTACAAACGAGAAGTGTTCGTGACACCATCTTGGTGCTCCAAGTCTAAATTTGAGGTTAGGTTTCACGCTCGTACTACATGCAAAACCAACTCACTTGAGGTAACGAGTCAATCGCTGAGGTTCTGGTAGCATCAACCCCGACTCGAGAGGTCTCCTCTTCGCTCGTGCTGGGCAGCACCCTAACGACACCCATCTCGTTGTCGTCATCCGCCTCCGTCTCGTGTTCCGCGTCCTCGCCAATGGCGTCCCGGATCTCTTTGTCGATCTCCGCGTCCTCTTCGTCCCACTCCGGACTCTCGATCACTGCCACTATGGCGCTCCTGTCTGGAGAACGCTCTTCTGAACTTTCGAACAAACACTTTCTCGTCGACGATCGTCCGGTTTTCCTAATCTTTCCCGTGGACGGTCTCGAGCGTCTGGTTTGCGCCGATTTCGGAGAACTCGAGGAACTTTCGTCGATATACCGAAAGCTCTGCTCTTCTAAAAGCACGCGAAACAACATAAAGACACTAATGCAGCGGTCTTGATACTCACCTGTCGCCAATGCATCTTCCACAGGACGTTTCTTCACTTTCTTAGCCTCGTCCTCTTCCTTCTGTGTCTCCAAGTTAGACTTCGTAGGTGACGAGTCCCTAGCCTCTGCCATCTCATCAGACATCTTTCTTTTCGTCGCAGTCGGCGTGTCTCCATTTAGCGATCTGTCCTCCTGATCTTCCACCAGAGCTGAGTCTTTGGACGATGAAAACTCCACGGATTTTCCTCGAGCAGAATCCACCTGTTCCTTCTCATCCTGAGACTCCTTGCTCGATCCCTTGGTCAACGATGTCTCCTTCGCCTGCAAGCTGTCAGTAGCAATTTTCTCAGTCTCTTGCAGTTCCGAGGTCTTCTGTACGACTTCCTTGCTCGTCTTCTCTATGGACTTCACGGACACCTTTTTCGTGGAAGACTCTCGTTTCTTGCTGAACTCTCTCCTCTTCTGGCTCCCACTGCTCTTCTTCGGGCTCTCGTCAGACTGTCTCGAAGAAGAGGATTTTGATCTTCTCTCGTCGAACGATGGCTTCCTCTTCATCGTCCCGGATTTGCTTTTCGATTTACCCTTGGCCTCTTTCGACTTCTTCTCTTCTTCCTCTGACGGTGGCACGTCTTCCACGGCTGTTCTGGGCGTGGTGCTTTCCTTTTGCACAGCTTTTTGGCTAACTGGACTCTCGGATTTGCTAACCTCGGATTCCTCGAGGCTCTTCCTCAAGTTGTCTTCCGACACGTCCGTTTTCTCGCTGTGGGACTCCTTGTCGAGATCCTCGTCTGGCTTCGTCTCGGCTGACGTTCCTTCCGATTTAGGCTGTTCTTCTCGCTGACTCTGCAGCTCCTTTTGCGAATCCAACGTGGCGCTTTCAGACTCTGTCGTCTCGTGTGCCTCTAACCTGCCTGGAAAGAGGACTCTACAGAAAATTGACAGAAAAGTGGTGAACATGATCACGTTGCTTCGAGATGTTATAAATAATGCAAATTTAAATCCTGGTAATAGAAATTGTACATTATACTTAAGCAATTAAGTAACACTGTTCAACGAATTTCAACTTTGCGTCTAATCTGTAATCTCCATTAGGTGATTCTTGGAGAGTTCAGTTTCTTGACAGAACTTAGGATTAGAGATTCGTTTACAGGGAATAAAAAATCAATTTTATAAGAATTACCCAATGGATATAATAGATTAAAATTTAGGTTAAACAGTGTAATTATACATGATTTATTCGGACCGATAATTATTATTTCGTTACAAGTCTTACATTTTTCGCTGTCATCTTTCTTCTCTTCTTTATTTTCGATCAGAGAGCTCTCGATCTTCTCATCCTGATCTTTCTTCTCATCATCCACGTCTTTAGTATCCTCTTTACCTTCGATGACTTTTATATCTTCTTTATCTCCACTCTCTTCACGTTGATCCTGCTTTTCATCTGTTTCTTCTTGACAGAGTCTTGAGTCTTTCTCTCGCTGAGTCTTCTCTTGTGCTCCCTGCTGCCTCATTTCTTCCACATCCTTCTTCAGATTGGCTGCTTTCTGCACGAGATTGTTGCGTGACACGTCAGTCTGTTCCAAGATGTCATCCTCTTTGCTGACAACCGAGCTGGCTTCCTTGGACACTTCCTCGATCTCGATTATCTCCGTTCTTAATCTGTCATCGAACGTGACTTCCTTCGAAGATTCTACCATGGATTTCGGCGTGTCGGGTCCTTGATCCTTGTGAACCATGGCTGTCACAACCACGCGTTCGACCGTTTCCTGGCTCGTGCTGTCGGTTACGTCTCTGCGATATCGACTTTCAATAATATTCTCTCCGCTTTCTTTGTCCTCGTCCAAAGAGGTTCGCGGAGTTCGTTGGGTATGAAACGCGGATTCTTTTGGTCCTTGTTCTTTGTCGCACGATTGCATTCGGTCGGTACTCTCGCCGTTGTCCGAAGCTTTCGATTTGTTGGACTTCAATTTCCTTCTAGTGCTCCTACGCGTCTTCGTGAACTTCGTTTCTTTCGAACTCTCCCTGGGAGTCTTTGATCTCCTACCAGACACCACCTTCTCGCATTTCCTCTCCAAAGATTTTCGTACCACTACCACTTCTAGGCTATCGTCGCTCACGCTTTCATCGTCCTCGTCTCTTTTCAAAGTTTCTCTGTTTTCCACCCCATTGCTCTTGTCCGTTCTGCTCTCCTCCTTTCGCGAATCGAATTTCTGTTTCGACGTGTCCTCCACGTGGTCGTAGCTGTCAGACTCTATGGATGATTCGCTCGAGTCGTGTCTGGATTTCGTCGAGCGCTTTTTGCTCCGTTTCCGTCGCAATTTTCGATCAGTGTCGTCTTCCTCGTATCTGAAATATTGTATAAAGTTATGAAAATTATAAGTTATGAAAATTATAAGTTATGAAAATTTGTAAGTTATAAAAATTTATAAGTATGAAAATTTTGCGGTCCATGTATGTAACGATTGAAGAGAATTCGTTAGAATCTATATTCTAATGCTGGAAGCTTGCTTCTATGGAAGTAGCATAATTTCATTGGATTTTGTAAATAATTGGTAATTCAATGACTATGACAAAGAAACGATAAAATTATGTCATACAATTTAAAATTATACAGTTTTCGAATTTTCCAATTTTCGTACTTTTAAATTTCTCTTAAAATTCTCAAAATTCTCTTAACTTTTCGAATGTTTTAATTTTGAAAGATTAAATTAAAATCCTTGTTATATGGGAATAAAAATAAGAAATTGATGTCTCACCGTGCCGACTCGCTACGAGCTCTCCTTTGATGATCTTTCTTCGAGGATGACTTGGACAACCTAACTTCTTCCTCGCTGAAGCTTCGGCTATCTTGACGTGCTAATTTCCTCAAATTTCCTCTTCGTCGTGTTCTCTTCTCAATCCATTGCTCCTCGTAGTACAACCCCGGAAGTTTAGAGCTACGACCTCTTCTACGAGGGCTGCTCTCTGTATCTGTACTACTATCTACATGTTTCATTCGCAGTTTCGCTGCGAACACTGAAATCATTTCGAAGGAAATTAAAAATACAGCGAATTTTTGTCGATTCTTAGTAATAAAGCATTTAATTCTACAATCGTGACATCGTTTCCCAAAAAAAAAAAAAAAGTTAACTAGATATTAAATTACCTGTCAGTCCTGCTTATACTAAGCTACGAAAGCTTTCAGCTACACTCTCAAGATGAAAATTCTTTTATAATTCGTGGGTATTAAAATTGTCCAAACTTTACCCAATTCTATAAAGTTTGTTCCTCGTGCAGTCTCGACTGGCTATATTTATTAAGCTACATTTTAAAGACGCTTTTAGAAATATGTATATACCTAACCTGACCTTTATTCGGTACAGTTTTCTGCATCCTCAGTTTCTGCGCCGTGGTACCACCGTGCATTTGAATCAATTTTGCGCAGTCCCTATGTCCTCTGCAAATAGGGACGCCAAAATATCATCACCGATTTTTCCATTATTATTACCCTAAGTATGTACAGGATATAGTATAAGTAGTATAAGTATGATAATATAAATAACATAAGTAGTATAAGTATATAGTATATAGTATATACGGAAGGTAAGACAAAATCTCTTCGACTAAATTAATCGCAACATCACAAATACCACGAAGAAATTGCTAATATGTAAAAACAGTTAATAACAATTCTTCACAGATTACATTTATTTGCTCACGAATTTTAGTATGTTGACTGTCACGCACATTTTACACATCTGCTCAGGCCATAATAAAGTTTCCATTTTTCTTAGGACATAAAGAATTATTAAAAAACAATGAAAAAAAAAAGAAAAAATAGATCGCAATTACATTGTTCAAATTTTCAAGAAGTAGTTAAGTGCCTGTCACTGGTGACCACCGTGGCAGTCAATGAGTTGACGATTAAAGCAAACGATATAAAGTTAGAAAATTTATTCTTTTCATATGATAAATTTATATGATAAAAAGTTATAAGAATAATAATAATAAGTCTGGTCAAATAACCGGTTAACTGATGTCGAATACGATCCGTTTGACATTGGTACCTGTAAAGCGCTGCGTCCAGAGCTGTCATGAGATTGCCTTTGCTGGTACGAAGCATGGCATTGATCCTGGCGCCATTATCCAGGAGGACCTTGCACACGTCCAAATGTCCATGAAGAGCTGCCACGTGCAACGGTGTCTTGCCATCGTGCGTTGCGACGTCCAAAGTGCTTGGACGCTTCTTCGCCAGCCACTTGATCAACTCGATCCTACCGGAAGCCACGGCCTCGTGAGCGACACCGGTGCCTCGCACAGTCCTCGCGTACAAAGAGCCGCCATGTTGAGCAAGAATCTTCAGGGTCTCCAGTTGGCCCTTGGCCGCAGCGCAAAGGGCTGGTCTGAAGTATTTGATATCTTTGTTTCATTCATTTTTGACCGCTCCTTCTTCTTCTTTCTTTTTTTTTTTAGAGAAAATTCGGAATAATTTGTTAAATTTTGGAGTATGTTGTATTTCAATATGTTTATTTTAATAGATAGTAATTTTAATATGTCGAATTTTAAAGTATTAAAGTGAAATTTAATATTTAATATTTCTAAGTAGGGTAAATTTTAATATTTAATTCTTCTAAATAGGGTAAATTCTAATATTTAATACTTCCAAATAGGGTAAATTCTTATATTTGATACTCTTAAATAGGTTAAATTTTAATATTTAATACTTTAATTTAATAATTCTAAATAGGGTAAATTCTAATATTTAATACTTCTAAATAGGGTAAATTCTAATATTTAATATTCGTTACAGATAAAATTTTAACACGTTAAATTTGGTATTCGATATCACTATGTCAAATTTAAATACTTCGAATTTAACATTTAATATTTTTAATACAGAAACGTATTACTGTACTGACTTTTAATAACTAAATTCATTTCACTTTCTCAGTTTCTCGCGTAACATTCTCTTACATCGGTATCCGAAGGCAACGACTGCATTGTGTCAGAAACGCATATCATTATTGATAATGATACACTGTCTATAGTAGCTGCATCGAGTATCTCGTATTCCACGTACACATGCCAGATAATAGTGTCAATGTACTCCGTGACCTATGAATTCTAATTCTAATACGATGAAATCAATTTTCCCCTACGTACATTCCGAATATAGCTCAATCCTTTAAAAGCTCTATTCCTTTATAGAGAAGCACAAATACAGAATAAAACTCTTAACTTTTTACCGTCACGACATTTACGAAACTTTTATTTCTCGAGTTTCCTATACCACAGAAAGAACGAATGTCCCTTGAAAACCACAGCGAACCTCATCGGATCACATGGAACGATAGAAAATAATTATTTCATCGACACCAAGCGAAGTTTCTGCAATTTCACTCGAATCGGTTGGCAAGATCGGCGAGTTAATCCCGAATCGATGGAACCTGGGTTCCAAAGAACATTCGTTCCAGCTCTCCACGGTACTTACGTTCTACCCTTTCGATCCTGGCGATTCGGATCGGCTCCTAACTTTAGAATCAATGCCGTGGCGTCAGCGTGGCCAAGAGTGGCAGCATAATGTAGAGCTGAGCATCCATTATCGTCGACATGATCAGGATGGGCACCACAGAGGTTCACCAAGGCCTCCACGCATCTAGCGTGGCCCCTGGATGCGGCGCAATGAAGAGCCGTCAGGCCATCTTTGTCCGCAGCTCCTGCGGCAGCTGAACCACCGGCTCTGTATTTTAATTATTGCTTTTAGAATTGTTCCTTCTTCTTCTAGAATGTAAATGCAATCTTGAACATCCTAAATAATCATCGTATTATTAAACAGGAATTATTTTATCACTATGAATAATTAATATACGAGTCCAATTTTTTGAAACCTATTTTTTGGTAAATGAGGTAGGTAATATGAGTATGTATATAATTATATACATGACAGGGAAGTATTTTATAAAATTAATAGGAAAATTAGATGTTGATTTCTTAAATATTGATCATTCGAGTTATTCCTTCTTCTTCTGGAAGATAAATGCAACGTGAGCCCTGAATAATTATTATAAATATATACTTTTTAGTACAGGAGGTACTATACGTGCGATTTAATTATATACACGATAGGAAAGTATTTTATAAATTAATAGGAAAATCTGCTGTTGATTTCTTAAATATTGCTCATTCGAGTTATTCCTTCTTCTTCTGGAAGATAAATGCAACGTGGGCCCTGAATAATTATTATAAATATATACTTTTTAGTACAGGAGGTACTATACGTGCGATTTAATTATATACACGATAGGAAAGTATTTTTTAAATATTCTTCATTCGAGTTGTTCCTTCTTCTTTTAGAAGATAAATGCAACGCGGGCCCTGAATAATTATTATAAATATATACTTTTTAGTAAAGGAGGTAATATGAGGACGATTTAATTATATACACAACAGGGAAGTATTTTATAAAATTAATAGGAAGATCATATTATTTTACAGGAATTATTTTATCGCCCTGAATAATTATTATACAGTCGAATCCCGATAACTCGAACCCCAAAGAAGAAATTGAAATCTATGTTTCAGCAAAGGAGGTAGGTAATGTGAGTACGATTTAATTATATACACAACCGAGAAGTATTTTATAAAATTAATACGAATATCAGCTGTACTTAGATATACTTATACGTGAAAAATAAATTGAATACATTCCAATAATTGAATACATTTGTAAAATACACACAAATGACGTGATTAAAATGAAATTCTAATAAAACTGAAGAAAATCGGTGAGTCGTAAATTGAAATTCTTAGGAAGCTTTGAGAAAAGCAACACTCGATTTGTTAATACACTCTTGGTAATTAAAATCTCCCTAAAAATTTAATTACAGTTCATCCCACTTAACACTAAACCTGCTATATCCTAAAACGTTAGAATTCAACGTTATCGTCTTAATCACTCAACTTCGCGATGTCTTCCCAAAATAAATATAATCATTTTTCAATGTCTCTCATTATTCCATTTAAAGTATCCCATCTTTTCCATTCATTATTCGTTTGACCATGATAGGTTTCGCGTTAAAAATTCATTTTAAAAAGTCCCCGAGCCGTAATTCTGTTATTATTTGCACGACAAACAATCTCTTCGCCACTAACGTTGAAGAACGTGTATTTAGGGGAAATCAAACTTTACCTAGCTAATGCCAACACAGCTTCCACGCTGCCGGCACTTGCCGCCCATAGAATTGGCTGCCTTCCATCCTCGTCTTTCGCGTTCACATCGGCCCCGAATTCCAGCAGGGTCTGGAGAACTTTTAAACCAACCTTCTTGGGTACAGAGAGCTCAGCAGTCGCTGCGGCACCGCAACACTGAGCTGCATAGTGAAGAGGCGATCCTCCGCGGAGGTCAGGGGTGGATGGTCGAGCACCTGCTGCTAGCACCAAGCGAACGCATTCTGCTTCTCCGCAAACTGGACAATAATTATAAATTCATTTTCATATCTCTGTCTCTCTTTATCTTACAGCTTAGTATTATTCGTGTTTCGTGTAAATTGAACGAGTTTTTCAAAGGAGAACGAGGAATAACGTGTTTGACGTGGTCAACAGTCAGTTTAGTAGCTGTGCACAGTATTAACCCTTTGCACTATGACGAAATTTGATTAAAATTTGCCGTTTGATAGAATTTCGAAGATCAATGTTAATTAATATATCAAATTTAAGATAATGTAACGGTGTGCGAGGTATTAAAATCAAATAATTCTACGTCTCAATTATTATACTATTTCTTATTTACTGCTCAAAAAAGTATCACCAGCTTCATAGTAGAAAATTTTCGAACTCCTACTTTTCTTTAACCAAAAAATCGTCGAGTGCAAAGGGTTAACAAAAGATTTGGGGTTGCTCGTTTGTTTATTAAGGAATTAAATAATTCTGAATGTCGAAAATTATTTGCAGATGACGTTTGTTAAGTATAAATAATTTCCTATAGGCAACAATCCCCTGTGATTATTCATTCATTAAATAATCAAACAATTTTGACTGTCAAAAATTCTTTGATACCGTTCGTTTGCTATATAATTCGATAATTTCGATTGTCCAATATTCTCTGTGAATTTCCGTTTCTTAAATAATTAAATAATTAAATAATTGATTAAATTATTGATATTGTGCAAATTCTGTGTATCAATGTAAAATAAATAAATAATATAGATATATGAATATATATAAGGACTAATCTCTGTTCGAACTTAAATTGACAGTGAAAGAATAAGCAAAGAAAATGGAATATTTCCATTTGTAATGGAACTCATTACAAATATTTACTGACAATTGGTTAATAAAAACATTTACAATATTTGAACTTATCATTGCATTCTAAATATTCATATGAAATTAAAGATAAATTAAAGGCTTAAAATTAAAATTAAAATTCAATTAAATTAAATATTAATTAATTAATAACCTTAAAATTAAATTAAAATTAAAGTCTCAAATTAAAGCTAGCTAACTGTAGATAAAGCACTCGGTGCAGTCACTTGTTAAAGTTCAAGCAATGGATTGCTGCGTTAGAACGAGAAGCCTTGGGCAAGCAATAAATAAATATTTCCTTGACTATGAAACAAACGTAACGTGGTTCGTGCTGCGGAAATTTACATTTAAAGCTTAGCGTACCAAGAACGTTGCCATTTTAATGATTCGTTACCTTCACGGTGTTCCGAAAGCTTGAAATTAAAATATTTCAAACGGCCAGGTTCCCATTTTTATATCAAGAAGTTCAAGGTAACAACGCAACTGGTTCCTGCATATAAATTCGCGAAGCTCATTACTCGTATTCGCGGTAATATTGAACTAGCGACCAACCTTTTTCTGCCATAATGGAAAAGGTCAAGCCGACGACGCGGTGAGCTTTGTGCCGCAAAATTACAAGCATTATTATGCACGCACGTAACACCGAATTACCATCCAGTTTCTTTCTTTCCAACAAAGAATGCAAATCGATAGCATGACCACCTTTTGCACAATGCACTCGAAAGTATCAAGGACCACGATCAGATTTTCATTCCAGCCAACGTCGTAGGCCACGAGCTACGCGTTAATCGACAAACCACACTGCCATGTACTTGGCAACCTAGATCCTCGATCCTCTCGCTTCAAGATAGCCTGTAAACTGCGTATTTTACGATGCGGAAAATTGTGAATTGGAATTATAACAATTATACGAATCTTTCGTATAATAAATTAAAAACAGGAGAATTATTTACAATTTAATTTAGAATTTTCTATCTTTTTCGGTGTCACGTAAGTATAGTATAATTGGCAAAATTCTGTGGCATATAAAAATAGATGCTACCTGCAACTCAACAGTACTATTATCTTCTATTTGTAATACACATAGGGGTTAAGGATGTAAAAATGAAAGGATCGAAGGAGGATGGAAGGAATAAAGAGAAAGAAAGGAAGAGAGACCTGCAAATTTTCGAATAATCGAATGGGTAATTAATTAGGCTTAAATCCTACAAGTTTCTGTTCTGAAAATTTGGAAACACTCACGTGGATTTTTCATTTCCTGGAGTTATTGATATAGCAGGACTTCTTGGACTTAATCAACGTAGTCCCAGAAGTCCCAAAATTGAGGTCAAGCAGTTAACATTGTCAAGTCACTGTCATTTAATTCTAAGCTATATAAGTGCATACTATTTTTCCCAATTACTATCTCTGCCATGTGAGTCACACTACTTTAATGATTCTCTAATAAATTGGTAATTAATTAGGCCTAATTAATTAACCCTACGAGCCTCTGTTCTAAAAATGTGGAAACATTCACATGGATTTTCCCTGTCCTGGAGCTGTATATATACCATGACTTCTTGGACTTAGTCAACGTAGTCCCAGAAGTCCCAAAATTGAGGTCAAACAGTTAACATTGTCAAGTCCCTGTCATTTAATTCTAAGCTATATAAATACATACTACTTTTTCCAATTACTACCTTTGCCACGTGAATCACACTACTTTAACAATTCTTTAATAAATACCTAATTAATTAACCCAACGAGCCTCTGTTTTGTAAATTTGGAAACACCCATGTGAATTTTCTCTTTCATAAAGTCATTGATATACCAGGACTTCTTGAACTTAGTCAACGTAGTCCCAAAAGTTCCAAAATGGAGGCTGCACACTGTCAAATCACATTAATTCTGACCTATATAAATACTGCCACGTGATTTCATTCTATTTGACCGACCTAGGTGCTCCAATACAGCGTATCCTTAAGTAACCTAACTGTCCCTACTACCAAATACCAAATTAATTAAATATTTCTAAGAATTCCCACGTCCCATTATCGACACACGGCAACCGATCCATAGATACAACAATATACACCCTCGCATGTGCACCTAAAGCAAATACCATGCGTGCAAACGCAACCTACGATGGATTTCCCTCGACCAGGCTTCTGGATGTCTCCGATAATTGACTCGCGAGATAGCATCGCGTCCTTATTCGGAACACGACTCGTAACGTTACAAACGATAAAGCAAACGACACCGACAAGTAGGTCGAAATATAACTCGGCGAGAGGAGTCGGAGCGGAGTCGGGTCTGTCCTCGGCAGCCATTCGTGAATTACACAGATGCGGATGACCGATACGGAACTTTCTTTTTCGCAGCCGTAAATCCGACGTAGGTACGAAACGCGAGGAGAGGGCGATCGCGGCGTTGGACGATAAATCTTCCGGTCATTTGAATACACCAAGGACGACTATGGTCAATCTCCGTGGATTATCTCGGCGTGGGTCTCGCGTGTTCCTCGGCGAATCGGAATGACGTCACCCGGGTCTGACCCACTAACCTTACCTGACCGATACACCCTTATTTTATCGGAGATCGGCAGGAACGATAGGGCCCGGTAATTCACAGTTTCCGCAGCTTCTAAGGAATCGTTGTGTGCTCGTGGCCGGCCGCGATTTGACCTTTCATCCGGGCAAATTAAACCGCTTCCTTTACGAGTACCCAATTTACGCTCGCTTTTCCCCGCGGACTTTTAAACGGTACCTTTGCCAATCTTGATTTCCAGCGTATCCTCGCACCGTGAAATTATCGTCCACGCGAGACGTGGATCATGTAAATTGAATATTACGTGCTGAGTACGGTGTTAGAGCATGGAGAAATGTTAAGTGTGAAAACATCCGATTTTTGGTGCTTTTTTGGGGGGGGGGGTCGATAATGGGTTTACTTTCGCGTGTTTTAATATTCGAAATATCAATAAAATGTGGTTGGTTCAAATTGGATATGGTATGGGGTCCGTGGAGTTGAGATATAGGGAAATGTTAAGAGTGAAAACATCAGATTTTTATTTCTTTTTTTCGTGTCAATAATGGGGAATTTCTTTGCATACTTAATATTGGAATTATGAACAAAACGTGGATGATTCAAATCGGATATTATATAGCGACCATGGCGTTGAGATATGGGGAAATGTTAAATGCTAAAAAATTAAATTTTTATATCATTATTTTTATCAATAATGCGGGATTCTTTCACGTGTCTTAATATTGGAATTAACAACAAAACATGGATGATTTAAATTGGATATTATATGGTGTCTATGACGGTGAAATATAGGAAAATGATAAACGTGAAAATGTCCTGTTTTTAATTTATTTTTTTATTAATAACGGAGTATTATTTCGCGTGTCTTAATATTCGAATTATCAACGAAATATGTACAAAGATAATATGTGAACATTGTTCTTCTAATATATTAATGTAATTCGCTGATTAATTGAATAAAAAATAGTAACCATTAGTATCTATGATAATAGTCCAAACACTCTGTGCAATACGCATAAATAATTCATTAATTAACAAGAAATTTGTTTCCAAAACTATATTGGATAGTTCTTTAAGGCGGTACCTTTACGAAATAAATATAAAAGTTCTTAAATTAATCACAGAAGTTGATTAATTTATTAATTTTTCTTTAAGTGAACAGGAGAGTACATGGAAAATGAGAAAAAGATGGCAGAAGAACACTTCTACTGCATCATGCAGAAGAATGTAAGTCTTTGTATTAACATATCCTACAGTTGCAAATAAATAATGTGAGATATAAGCTATTTCCATCTTTTATTAGTGATAGCAGAGGTTGGTTGTGAGAGAACAACATCCTGTTCAAGTAAACAGGCACATGTAACAGGAGAAAAATATTGGACTCGTGCAATATCACCAGTATAGAGCCATTAGATGCCAAGAATTATTTTTTACAGAGAGAAAAAATTGAAGTAGTAATACAAATATGTAAAGTATGATATGTCTATGGAATTCTAGTTCAGTTAATCATATGACATAAAGGATATAAATATTTGATGGTCAAATAAAGATTCAGAAAATGGAGATTGCTGAGACAGATAAAATGGAATAAAATTAATTTATGCGATGTCCTCCTATAACACCAAGATATAGAGAATACAGTGAGATTAAAAGGTATGTTGTATTGCTGATCCGAATAAATATCAATATCAGTGGTCAAAGTCACTGATCATTGTTAATCTTTTAAGTTTCAGAATGATGGAGCTGAGATATGTAAAGAAAAGAGAGAAGTGCAAATGAAAGCAGTGAGAAGAGGAAATGCATATTACGTGGAATCAAGAAACATCAGAGAGGCAGCATATGTATCATCACATATAAAAATGTGTGGCATCGACATGCAAATATGAGGATCATTGAAGAATTTGAGAATGAACAATTGGTAACACTTATGAAAGGTAAAGATAAATTGAATATAGATTGTGAATGCTGCTTTAAGTAATAAATCTGTAGAAATATCCATAGGAACTTGGAAACTATAAAAACAGCAGAAATAATGGGACTGTGACACATGGATTTGATCGGACCAATAAAGCCAATGTCCAAAGGTGATAAAAGGTACATTTTATCTATTGATAATTATTCCAGAATGATTATTTATTTCTTTCTCTTATAGGAAAAGGGTTAGACAGCTAAGGAAATAAAAATATTGATAACATTAAAAGAAAATTAATCTCTCAAGAAGTTGAAAAGTACTTATATGGTTAAACAATGGAGGTGAGTTTATGAAACAAGACTTCCAAGTTTATTCAAATGAAAAGGAAATAAAATATGATTTCAGTTCAGCAAAGACACCGCAGTGCAAAGGGGTTGCAGAGAGGAAGAACAAATCCACCATAACTTAATCTAAGATAAACCAATATCAAGAATTATTAGGGAAACTCAAGTATTTGAATACTTATGTCTGGTCAAACATCTCATTTGTAGTAGGATGTTTGTCATAGTTTAATCATGATCTTAAAATGATCCTACTGAAAAAGGAGATGAGAAAGATTGTGATGCGTGACAGATTGAATGCGATAAATGTAGAAAATTAAATCTAAGCTCTTACATAGAACAATGTTGTTATATAAGAGATGTAGTAAAAACTAAGAACTTGTAAATTTGTTATGTACCAGATAAAAAAATGAATGCTAACTGTCTAACTAAATCACCGAGTGGCCCAAATCTGTTAAAGAATGTAGAAAGCTTTATGGAGGTGTTAAGAGAATGAAAAGGAGGGTGGAGAATGTGTGATACTTATTTATATCATGTTATTGCTTTATTTCTCCCACCTATCACAGCATAAGTTAGGTAAACTATTTAATCAGTATTAACTTTAACAATAACATTTTGCGTTTGTCATAAGTATACTTGAAACTGAATGCATTTTATTAGCAATGGGAAAAATTTTTGTAGCTTTATTATAACTGAGTGATACATACTTTCTTTTGATAGGTCTGACTAAATGGTTTTAAAAAAGTAGTTTTAACCATTTATACATTAGAAATTAATGTTCTCAAGAAGTATGTTCAATAAAGGTGGATATAATGCTCATGTATAAAATTTTGTAACTAATATATATAAATATATTATATTACTATATATTCTATTTTTATTATTAACATTATAATTGCTTTTAATAATTTATAACGTTTCTGCAG